CCCCCCAAGAGCTCATCCTCCAGAACCCCCAGCACTAGCGCTGCCCCTGGAGCCCTCAGTTGCTGCCCTGCCCCACCCCCTCAACTAGCCTTGCGCTGCTATCTGCATCACAGCAGCTCTGCAGGCCAGGACTGGAGTACACCACTCAGCAATGCACTTCCCATCCAACCACAGCTGTTGGGAGAGATGTGTCCTGCCCCGCCTTTCAGCCAATCAGCACTGGGCAGGGGCAGGGTCCCCTCGTGTTGCAGAAGAGAGTTTCCCTGTGTGGCAGGAGGGTCGCACTGAGCAGCTCCATACAGCCCTCCTGCCATACAGGGAAGTATTCTTCCAAAGCTTCCCAGGCTTATTGGTTAATCTTGTTGTCTACACGCATTCTCCCCTCCCCCCACTTGCTGCCTCTGAATCAGAGGTGGGGGAGGAGGGGCCGAGCGGAGCAGAAGCCAATGCCTATCAGGAGCTACTTTAAAAGCCAGCTCACCAGCAGCACCAGATCTGCCTTTCCCTCTGACACCCCCAAGCTGTTGCCTCTGACAGAGAGGCAGGAGAGCGGAGACTGTGTGTTGGGGGGCAGGCTGGAGCCAATAAGCACAGGGAGCCTGGGTCTGCTGCAGACAGAGGCTGTTCCACAGAAGCAGCCCCTATCTACGAGGAGCTCAGACTCCCCCAAGGACAGGGGCTTCTCCCACCCCATGCTTCTGCCTCTATCAGAGGCAGCGGTACGGCAGGCAGCCGGTCTGCACAGGGAGCTGTTTTTTAAATTGGGTCCTCTTGTGGACCGACTCCCCCTGCCACAGAAGCAGCAGCATGGGGTGATTGTGGGCTCTCTGGGAGTGGAGCTGGGAGCACACTGGCTGCGAGCCCCACCCCTAGGAACTACTGAATAATAACCACTAAAATTTCATGTGGTCACATGATTATTCAATTACAATAGCTAACATAAGTGGGCTCTGCCCAGGAAAGCTCATGATATCATGTACATGTTTTGTTAGCCTTTAAAGTGCTACCAGACTAGTTGTTGTTTTTTTTAAATTATCCCTAATAGACAAAGACACAAATATCTTTCATTCCATAAGGACTCAGCAAAAGCTAACATTTTCCCATGTGTGTGCTCGTAGTGAAATATGGATTACAGTCTTCCCTCTATCTCCAAAATGCTTACATACTTGCTTTATTCACAGCTTTTAAACTCCTATATTCAAAAAAGTAACTTTTTTAAAAACTAAATCCTTAGCCCCGTGTAACCTCCATAAATGGGTTACCATTTTAGACGCATTTTTGCATCCCTATTCAAAACGGCTACAAATAAAGGGGTTTAAAGAGAGAAATAACGGGCGGGCTCTGCTAGGGACATTTGGAGCGCTAGTTTCAGAGACATTGACTATTTCCTCTGTCTAGTCCGCTAGTCTTCCCGTTGGATGTGCGCGATTTTTGTGCACCCACGTGAGTGACACAAACACTTACATACAAAACCCCACAACCCACACCAGCCCCGTGGGGTTGGACTCGCAGCAGGGAGCGTCAGGCAGACTGCGGGCACCTGACGCTTCCTCAGGGGCTGACTAGTTTCAGAGACATTGACTATTTCCTCTGTCTAGTCCGCTAGTCTTCCCGTTGGATGTGCGCGATTTTTGTGCACCCACGTGAGTGACACAAACACTTACATACAAAACCCCACAACCCACACCAGCCCCGTGGGGTTGGACTCGCAGCAGGGAGCGTCAGGCAGACTGCGGGCACCTGACGCTTCCTCAGGGGCTGAGCGCCTGTGGGCCTCAGGCCGACACGCAGACAGGAGGGGAGCGCTCGCCCCCCAGCCCCGGGCAGCCA